CAGTGGTACCATATGGCATTTGTCCCTTTGTGACTGAGATACCTCACTCAGCATAATGTCCTCCAGGGTCACCCATTTTGAATAATATTGCATGAGTTCCTTGTTTTTCAATGCAGCATAGTAGTCCAGTTCACTTTTTAAAAAATATTCATTGTTGGCACAATTTCCTCCTTAGCTCCTCAGATTGTTTTCCCTTTCAACTTTGAAGAAGACTTACTCCTTATTTCTCTGCCTTCATATTCCATGTATAATTATATCACATTTCTAATTCAGTCACTATGTAGTGAATTATTCACAGAAGACCTATGTAATATAATATGACACACTGAGCAACCAGGTTCAGGGGCTTGTCCCTTCTCTTCTTCAATTCTTTTGTTTCTTTCTTCTAAACGGGGGTGAAATTCACCTTACATAATAAGGTTAACTATTCTGAAGTGAGATATTGATTGACACTTAATACTTTCATAATATTATGCCATCTCCTCTGTCTCATTTAGAACATCATTCCAGAGGAAAAGATCTTACCCGCTAAGCGTTTGGTTCCCAACCTCTTTCTGCCCTCACCCAGCCCCTGATGACCACCCATTTCTCCGAGTTCTATGGATTTATCTAGTCTAGATCTTTCCCATAAATGGGATTATACAATTTAAGACCTTTGGTGTCTCTCTTTATTTACCATACTATTTTCGAGACTTATCTATATTGTAACACGTATCAATGCTTCATTCCTTCGTATGACTGCAAAATATTCCATTGGATGACACCACAATTTATGAATCCAGTCATCCACGGATAGACGTTGGAGTTGTTTCTACTGATCTATGAATAGTGTTGCTGTGATCCCCTAAGTGTATCTTATGAAGCAGAGTTGAGCACCCGTAGGTCACAGATGGGAAAGTACTTGTCCAAGGCCACGGGGTTGTGTTCAGCACCCCTCTCTTTTTTTTAAGCACTCCCCTTTTGTTAGCAGCATGCATGAGTGAGAAGTGTATTCTGGTGGGCACAGCTCCCACAGGGCTTTTTCTGCTGTAGACATGGACCTCTCGCTGCCTAATGAAGTTCTATGCTGTGGTGGCCTCCTCACCTACATCCTGGGAGAACCACAAGGTTGCAGAGAGGATCGAACAGCGGATCCTGAACTCCAATCCTGTCATGGAAGCCTTTGGTGAGTTCGTTCTTCTCTGATGTTGTTCACCTGCATCCCATGTTCTCTGGGTGTGGCCCCCTTCCTGGGAGAAGAGACCTTCTCTTTAGCAGTACAAGAATGAGTGTGTCCTTCACCAGCTTAGACACCTAAGCTCTTCCCAGGTAGGTGTCCCTTAAGACTTCCTTCCCGCTTACGGATGTCATTCTGTTGTTACCCTCCTGTCTAAGCACATTCAGTGGTGGTGCTGAGAGGACCTCATGGCTCAGTTAGTCTAAATCCAGCCCCTCTATCCTTTTCTTTATGGTCCAGAAAGGAAGAAGACTTGTCTAAAGATAGACAGTAACTAGTATCCAGCTTGTGACTGGAGCCCTGCTGTCTAAGCCAATAATCACAGCTTGCTTTTAACACCTTCCTTTCAGAGAAGACAGCCCCTGTCTGCCTAGGCTTGCTCGTTTCAGTGCCTTGCCAGAAAGTTCTCCTAAATCTAATGCCACCTGCTGAACACCGAGCACCCATCTCCTAGTCCTGCCTCCTGTGATGCGGAAATTAGCAAAAGTCACAGGAAGATAGGAAACCTGCAGTTGCCTTGACCATCAGAAGCTCTGAAGGGATGGGGGAAAATATTAACAGAGACGTGCTTTGTAGGGAACGCGTGCACACTGAGGAATAACAACAGCAGTCGCTTTGGGAAGTTCATCCAGCTCCAGCTGAACAGGTAACAGTGGGCAGCAAACCTCTGAGCAAACCTCACTTAGAATCAGTGAGCCCCAGGGTTGTTATCAGACCTGGAGAGCTGTTGCTACTGTGACCTGAGCTAGTATGCTGTCGTGGTCTGTGTGTTCCTCCTGGTGGCCAGCCTTGCTCAGAAATTTCTGGTCAAACAGCCACCTCTCTTGGCCATGGCTGTGAGCTGAAGTTGAGGTTCCTGCTCTGCTGTGGGACTACACAGGGTGATGCACTCAGGCCACAGCCCTTTTCACATATGCCTTGTTCGGGGGACTGTCCCAGACCACTGTCACTCCTCACCAACCCATGCCACACCCAGCCCTAGGGCCCTTTTCGCTAAGTGAAAGAGCTTGGGGCGGAACTGTAGGATTACACTCTGACACCAGTAAGTACCTAATGGAAAGCTAGAAAATGAATGAACAGCTAATGTGCTCTTGCCACCATGTGCCAGGGCCCAACAGATGACCGGAGCCGCAGTCCAGACCTACCTACTGGAGAAAACTCGAGTGTCCTGCCAGGCCTCCAGTGAGAGGAACTTTCACATCTTCTACCAGGTCTGTGCAGGTGGGGCCCACAGCTGCCTCACAGGGCAGGTGGGCTTGGAGCTCAGACACCCATATCCCTACCCCAGCACTAGTCCTGCAGTTTTGGCCTGGACATGTGTTTGCTCCTTTATCACAGAGTCCTGGAGTCTGGGACTCTTCCTAGGATGGATGCCACATCACCCTCATCACAAGGGTTCCCAGAATGGCATCTGTCTCCTCCAGTAGAATGAGCACTTACAGTGGACTAGGGTGCTCCTCCCAGGCATGAAAAGTCTGTCCTTCCTGCTTTCAGACTAAAATGTTCTTAGGTAGCGGTGCATCTCCCAAGTGGGGGCTCTGCAGGCTATGAGTGGTGCTTTCATCCTTGGCTACAGGGATCCCCCAGGTTGGGGTTTATGTTTTCCTGTGTGTCACTTTGGGGACATCCAGAGCTAGGTTTGCTTCTTTTCTTGTCTCTCCCACCTGCCCTGGGTTCTCCACAGAGACCTTGCAGCTTTGGGTGTTTCTCACTCCTGGTCCTGTTAACACCTTGGCTCCCCTCACACACCTAGCTCATCCCCTCCCCTACATCCCCAACAGATCTGCAAAGGAGCCAGCGAGGAAGAGCGGCTGCAGTGGCATCTCCCCAAGGGGGTCACCTTTACCTGGCTGCCCAACCCAGAGAAGGCTTTGGAAGGTAAGAGGCACCTTACTTCTCCCTCTCTCATGCCTTGCTGCCCTCCTGACCTTCTTTACACCTTACCTTGAACTGTGGCTTGACTTCTTTTGCAGAGGATTCCTTTGAGATCACCAGAGAGGCTATGCTCCATTTGGGCATCGACACCCCTACCCAGAGCAACATCTTTAAGGTCAGAAAAGAAGCCACACCACTTATGTTTGGTAGAGACAGTGATGGCCCCTTTATAAATCCTTGTTTGACTTTAGACTGGGTCTTTCTTTACCTGTGGATATAGCATTTTGGCCCCTGCTCTGTAATCTCCAGGGAGTCAAGCTCTGTGTGGCCTGGAGCCTGGAACCTGGGTGTCAGGGGATGGCCAGGGACTCACAGGACATCTTCAGAGCTCAGTGGTGTACTTCAGAGCTCAGACCTTCCAGGAGGGTTGGGTGCTTGAGTCCATCATGAATATAACCACAGTGGTAGAAAAATAATGCTGCCACATATTTCTGAGGTGTGTTAAAATGGGAAAATATTTTTTGCTTACTTTTTACAATAGTAGTCCTATGTATATGGATATTATTATTCCCATTTTGTACTTGGGGGAAGAAAAGGGATAAAATTATTTACCGTAGGTCAAACATCTCTTCATGGTAGAGTTTGTATGAGACTTAGTGATTGCCTAGTCCCACAGTCTTTCTCCTGCCCTCAGCTCCACGCAGAATGTGTGGTGGCCTAGGTGAACAGGATGTCTCTTGACTCCGCTGGTGGCCTCCCTTCTTCCTGCTGCCTTTGCTGACAGCACTGACTATCATCGCACCTCCCTCACCAGAGCACTGAGCAGGAGCAGGCGGGCTAGGAGGCTGGCACATGCCACTGCAGGGAGATGGCAGGCAGTGGGAATAACTTCCACCTCTAGATGGGGACTTCCCAGCAGGGAGGGTGTCCAGCCTGCAGAGCTTGGAGAGAAGGACAGACAGCATGTGGGGCCAAGCCCAGGAAGAGAGGACAGCACTAGGAGTCCAGGAGAGAGTACTGCTTGAAGGTGGCATGTCCCTCTGCCCACTGGGCATGGCAATGGAGAGAAAGGTTATGTGCACGGGCCTTGGGGTCAGAAGACAGGAGCATGTGTGGAGGGACCCTGCCTAGAATAAGATACGCACGCTGGGAGGCATCTGAAGTCAAGCTACTTGTATTTGAACCTTGCCTTTATTTGTCACCAACTGTGTGGCCTCAGGCCTATAATATGCATCACACCACATATATTTTGTTGAAAATTTCATTGTGATGATTCATGTAACTTGTTTATATAGTGCCTAGCAGAGACATTTAGATGGGGAGCAATAGTTGGGAGCTCCTATTGTTGTTCTGAATCATGATTTTTTCATCAGGAAAGAGGGCCCTCCCAGGTGAAGCCAGCCCTTGATGAAGAGGTGCCCTCCTCACTCCCTGTTCTCTCGCAGGTCCTCGCTGGCCTGCTGCACCTCGGCAACACACAGTTTGCTGACTCAGAGGATGAGGCCCAGCCCTGCCAGCTCATGGACGGTGCCAAATGTGAGGGGCAGGATCACCCAACATTGGTGGGGTCATGTGGGGGCTTATTGCTAGTCATGATTGCACTGTCATTCCAACTATATTTTTAATCTCATGCCTTCCATTAAACCACTAATATTAAATCTTGCCTGTTCTATTCCACATAACTGACTCCTTTATCTCTGCTGAGGGGACAGGTTTGTCACCATTTTACAGATGAGAAAATGAGTCAGAGTTTATATGATTTGTCCCACATATGGTAGTGTAAACTGAGACGTAAAAACACTACCCCCTCCAAAGAACCCCTGCTGTTAAATCAGGTCACTTCTGATTCATGGCAAAAAGGATTTCCAAGGCTGTAAATATTCTTTTTACATGTTTTTTTTTATATTTTTATATTGGTTTGCATATAAAATTTGTATACATGGTGTTTCAAACACTCCTTCATTCACATTGTGTTTCATACAGTCATTCCCATACATGACATTTTATAAAACCAATCACCATTGATCTGTGCCTACCATTACCCATCTTTTTTTAAATTTTATTATTTTTTTTGTGTGTATGTACTGTCAAATCATATCTGAGTGGTACAGAAGGAGATTGTCCCTCCTTCTCCAGCAGAGCAACTAGTGGATTCAAACCACATACCTCTGAGATTGCAATGCAGCTTCTTGCCACTAGGCCACCAGATCTCCCTCATTACCCCATCTTTTCAGATCCCCACTTGATCTTTCTTAATTCCTTCATACCTGCCCTCTGCCCAACAAACTGGAACCCCATGACTTCCCCCTTCCACCTTCAGACCCTCTGTCCCCTCTCCTTACCCCCTGGGGCTTTCCTGCACATCTTACGATGGCTGTACATCTTAATGGGAAGGAACTACTTCATTTTTCTGCCATGGAACAAATGGTGGGTTTGAACTTACAACCTTTCCTTTTGCGACCCAACACTTAACCTACTACATTCCCAGAGCTCCAGGGACATAGAAGTCATAGGTTCCACTGCAGTCACTGTCCTGAGCCTCATGGTGGGGACTGTTCAGATTGAGGATGATTTACCTAAGGAGGATCCACCCCTCCCAGGCTCTGTCAGGACATCGGCCTCACTGCTGCAGCTCTCAGAGGATATGCTGCTGGAGACACTGCGGATCAGAACCATCCGGGCAGGCAGGCAGCTGCAGCAGGTGTTCCGGAAGCCTTGTTCCCGCGCCGAGTGTGACACCCGAAGAGACTGTCTGGCCAAACTGGTCTACGCAAGGTGAGCCCATCCTCTGGGCGTATCCCTGCCCCACCCTGCCCTGCTCTCAAACTCTCCCCTTGTCTGAGGTTGGACCAGCCACCATCAGGCAGGGTGAGGGAGGCCAAATAAAGCAGACCCATATCCTCTCCCTGTTCCTCAGATGTCAAGAGTGGGCCAGGGCCCTTGGCCTCTGTTCTTGAGTGCTCTTAAGTGGTGAAGTTACCACATTTCTGGCCTAGACTCAGCTCCAATTACAGTATTGAAGCCTGCCTTGACTTTGGTCATAGATGATGAAAACCTCCCCAGCTCTCAGTAGGCAGGCCAAGCTCCAGACCCTTAGATGAGGAGGGTCCTCCGTCTCCACCCTTGTCTCACTTAAGCCTTACGTGCTCTTCTGGGCTAACACTAGTGCTCTGCCCACAGTGTGCCTTGGGCAGCACACTACACAGAAGGTCGGAGCCCAGAGCGTGGAGGAGTCCTGGCTTTTCCCAGTGGGTTTTCACGGACATCCCCTCCCTGTGGTATTTGGCCGCAGCTTCAGGAACAGTAATGCCACAGGTCTGGACCATTTGGTTTGGTTTCTAATCCTGAATTTAGTTCTGACAAGTACTTTAGGGGCCCAGAGTCCTCTGAAATTATGGAACAGGATATTAGTGTACGTATATATATATATATGGGTAACTGGGTATCCTCCACTTTTAAGAACCTTTTAAAGAACCAGGAGCCTGAGAGGCATCACCTGGGAACAGGATCCTCTGGGCTGAAAGTGGCTGACAGCAGCTGGGCTCAGACTCTTTCAGCAAGAGCCTCTTAGCGCTGCTTTTAAGCTGACTTCAGTTCAAAGACTTTTAACGGCCTTTGCTTACACATCTCTGAAAAAATAAGCAGATAAATTGACTGTGATAATCACCAAGTTAGCTCCTGACCAAGATATTTTACACAGTTGTCATCAATCAGGACTCACTGTTATTTATTAGAACTTCTCATGAGATGGTGGGAACTCTGGTGATTTAGTGGTAGAGTTGTGCTGCCACCCAAAGACAGGTGGTTCGGATCCACCAGTCGCTCTGCAAGAGAAAAATGGGCATTCTCCCGTGCAGTTCTCAGCCTTGGGAAGGTCAGCTGTGAGTTGGTTCTGACTGAATGGTGCATAAACAGCAGCAACAACTCTAGTGAATATTTGAGGTGCCTTGGCAAAACCGAAGGCAGAGCAGTCAGCCGCTAACCTAGAGACTGGTGATTCCGAACCTGCTAACCAGTGGTTCTGGAGGAAAAAGTGGAGGCGGGTGTGTGTCTGTAAACAGTCATGGCCTTGGAAACCCTCTGGGCAGTTCTGACTTACAGGGTCACTGTGAGTCAGAATGGCCTGATCACGGTGCGTCTGGTTTTCTTAATGAGTATTTGAAGCCATTTTACGAGAAAGTAAACTGAAATGAAAAAAGCTACAAAGCAATTACTTTAAGGAAAGTTATAGAGAAGAAACCCCTTAATAGTGTTGTCTATGTCGTCACATTGTACAGTAACTACTTCTCTGGGATGAGGCAGCTCCAGAGTGGAAGGTGCTTTGCTGATCTCCAGGGACTCGGGTACATTTGTGTGGGACTGAGTTTGGGCAGGTGGCCAACCTTTGGTCTCTGGGACCTACAGGTGGAATTTCACAGGAGAATCCAGTTGACTCAGTTCTTTTCAAAGCCATCCTGCCCACCAGCCCCTTCTAGTCAAGACCCCAGCTGGGTGTCAGGCCATGTGACCAATCCCTCGATGAGTCTGAGGGTTCCAGTCAGTACTGGGCTCATTCTTTCTCAGAGGACAAGCCAGGTTCATGTGTCCCTGGGAACATGCATTACTATAGCTTGCATATGCAGGAAGTCAAGACTGGTGGACAGAATAAGAAAGGATTTAGCCCCTGACATGTCCAGCTCAGAATGCAGGGCTCTCCAGGGTGTGGCACCTCTGGCTGCTGCTGCCATTTGGCCAGCCCTCAGGCTCACCAGAGTTCACTCTCCCTCCCCTAACAGGCTGTTTGACTGGCTGGTATCGGTGATCAACAGCAGCATCTGTGCAGACCCTGATGTGTGGACCACTTTCATAGGTAGCACGGCTCACCCTGCCAGGAGCATTCCTTCCAAGAGCTGTAGACCCCTGGATTAGGGGTCAGGAACCTCAGGGCCACTGTGACTCTGGGCAATTCCTTTTCCTTGTCTGTGCCCAAGTCTCCTCATCCACCTTCACTGTGATGGGGCAGCTACAGAACAGAAAGTGAGGAAAAGCTCTGTTTTCTGCAGTACCCATGTCTGACCCATCCCCAGCTCTCCAAGGCCTTTCTAAACCAGCAGGGTAGGGCAGATGGGTGAGCTAGATTACGAAAGACATGGGACACGACTGAGGCAAAAGACATTGACACCCGGGCAGTGCTGTCAGGCAGGGGAGGCGGTGAAGCTCAAAGGCACCTGTGAAGTTTGCACACTGGATGGTGGAATTCTAGGTACCAACTGGGCAGAAGAGACCACGGTCCTTAAAACAGGTTCAGTGCAGAACATATATTCCCTCACACCTGGTTCCCTTCTAGGAAGGGGATAAAGGGACCTGAGAATTCTAGCTCCTCCAAACTGGGCCTGGTACCTTGGGTTAGCCCTCACATCTCCTTTGACTTTTCTGTCTTTCCTAGGTGCTGAGGGTTCCTGGGGTGAGATGGAGACAACTCTGGGTGTCTATGGTAGGGGGGGGGTGTAGTAACTCCACCCACATCTGCGTGTCCTGCCCATCCCTTCTCCCCAGGTGGCCTAACATGAGGTCTTGGCAGCAGCTCAGCTCTGCCACTTTGCACTTCTGCAGTCTCCCTACCCCACCTGCTCCCTACAGTGGCCCCATGCGTTCTCCCCATCCTCACAGGCCTTCTGGATGTGTACGGGTTTGAGTCATTTCCCAGCAACAGTCTGGAGCAGTTGTGTATCAACTACGCCAATGAGAAGTTACAGCAGCACTTTGTGGCTCACTACCTCAGGGCTCAGCAGGTGAGAGTTGCAGAAGGAGAGGCGGCGGCGGGTCCAGTGGTCCCTCCCTGAGATGCTCTGATCTCTTCCTGGGTCCAGCCATACCAAGATCGGTCTGGTACCCTTGCTTCCTTCTCTGATGTTCATTCTCTGTGTACTGAAAGGCCTTAGACCACAGTTACCTTCTGACCATCCCACCCTCTAGGAAGAATATGCAATTGAGGGCCTAGAGTGGTCATTTGTCAACTACCAGGACAACCAGCGCTGTTTGGATCTCATCGAGGGGACCCCCATCAGCATCTGCTCCCTCATAAATGAGGTGAGGTGGCACAACCAGTGACTTAAGTATCACAGTTGGTCTTTGGATTTTCTCTTGGGCCTTGATAACTGTCCCATGTCCTGCCCAATGGGTTTGCTAGTCCCTACATTATTCCCTGCCTCTGAGGTTTACTGTGATGCCTGGGGAGATCCTGGAGACGACTCTTTTGCCATAGAGGCCACCGGGTGGGACTGAGGGTTGTGGTGAGACTCTCTCATTTCCCCGGTTGACTGCCTGGCGCTACCCCACACAGGAGTGCCGCCTTAACCGACCAAGCAGTGCAGCCCAGCTCCAGACACGCATCGAGAGTGCCCTGGCCGAGAGCCCTTACCTTGGCCAGAACAAGCTCAGCCGGGAGCCCAGCTTCATTGTGGTGCACTACGCAGGGCCTGTATGCTACCTCACTGCCGGCCTGGTGGAGAAGAACAAGGTGAGCATTGCCTGTAGCCTGGGAGCCTGGATGAGGTAGAGACTGAATTTCCAATCTTGTGTCCTCTCTTTTAATCGTCCCCCAGAATCCAGACCATCATCTGGGGTCCACCTGCCTGAGTTATCAGCTAGTCCAGGCCTGACCTGACTACAAATAATTCATGTTAGACTGGAGTCTCTGGCCATCCAGTTGTACCCACTCTTCTCTGGGTTGTTAGATTGGAGTCTCTGGCTAGCCAGTGTACCCACTCTTCTCTGGTCCTGGAAACCTTAATCTTCTGGGGTTAAGGTGGGCACGAGTTACCTGCCTGTTATTATCTTGGGGCATCAACTTCACGTGCACTCACTTGCTGCCCTTTCACTTCTACAATAGGATCCTGTACCTCCTGAGCTGACCACACTCTTGCAGCAATCCCAGGACCCCCTGCTCAAGGTGCTGTTTCCTACCAATCTGAAGGAGGAATCTCAGGAGGAGCCCTCTGGCCAGAGCAGGGCTCCCAAGTTGACAGTGGTATCCAAGTTCAAGGTGGGTCCGGTGGTGCTGACCTATTCATGCTCACTCATCTGTTTCATAGGATCATCTGTGAAAGCATCTTCCAGGATCGCTGCTGTTTGCTAGGGACTATAGACTATAGCTGGTTTAATAGAACCCCAGGGGCCTGTGGGTTACACAGTAGAGGTCTCCCACCCAGTTTTGTTTGGGTTTTGGTTTTGTTTTTTTTTTTAATTTTTATTTTATTTTAATAATTTTAATGATAATTTACTGAGATTTTGGATTTCCATTCATTCATTGCTGCACTTCTCTCCCCATCCCACCCAGTTTTAATAGCACAAAGAGGGGGCTTAATGTTAGTAGCTGTTGTCTAAATGAATGGCAGGAGAATTTCAAGATTTCACCCTTCTGGGAAGGTTGCTCTGGGGAGGGAAATGAGAGAAAGCTCAGACTAGATACAATCAGGTGAAGGATCACAGGTCAGAAAGGGGATCCCTGGAGGCAGAATGAGAAGCTATAGATGTGAAAGCAGTGGGCTTTGTGCATGCTCAGTGCTCACCCGCTGGCTGTGAGATCCCCAGGGCATGTGAGGATCCGGTCCTGGGGCAAGGATGGCTAGAAGGATTTGATCCCACCACTAATCAGGGCCCACCTAATCTCCCAGGCAGCCCCAACACTGCCTGACCCACATCTCTCCTCGATGCAGGCCTCCCTAGAGGAACTCCTACAAGTCCTGCACAGAACCACACCCCACTACATTCGCTGCATCAAGCCAAACAGCCAGGGCCAAGCACAGACCTTCATCCAAGAAGAGGTAGTTGACCTTGACTAGCAGCACAGGCAGCTCCAATGTAGTGACTGGGGGTGGGTCTCTCAGGCTGGTTCTGACACTACGGAGGGCTAGTGTCTTACCTGCTCTGGCAGGGCTGTCATGGATGGTTGTGTGGTCAGTGCAAACAGCACAGACTGAAAATGTGCTTAACTTTACAGTCAATGCATAATGAAGTGGTTTCTGACTATAGATATTTTTTTTTAATTATTAGTTCTGACTTGCTAGCAGCCACCCTTAGCTCCTGGTAACAGACTCTGAGGGCTATGGATGAGGGGTGGGTGCTGGAGATGCTAAAAATTGATCCACAGTCAGCTGGTGTATGAGGCCTTGAGGTCTTTTGCCGGCCCAGTCTGCTCTGTGATAAAGACTTTGGTTCAGGTCACAGAGAAATCTTCATAGTATAAAACCACTTTGCCTCTCAGCTATGAAATAAAAAAAGAAAAAAATTGAGCTTTGTTGTGAGCTAGTGGCTTCTCAGCACTGCTGGAAGTGATGAGACATAGCAGTGGCTGTATCTGAAGCCATGCATAAATAAGAGAGACTTGGGAACTCCCAGGACCCTTTCTATAAAAGAGATTCCTGTGTTGTCCCTTGACTTCTCACTGACCCAGTGTATACCCACATCACTGCCAGCCTTGGCAAATGCTGTAAATGCTTGCTGGCCAGGGCCTTGGAAGAAGGCTGGAGGGATTTGGGGGCTTACTGGCCCCTATATTGCAGTCCATGGACTGCTAGGAAAACAAACAGATTTGTCCTGGAAAGGGTTAAACCGGGTGGCTCCTTGGAAGCAAGGATTCTGAGGCTCCGTCTAACATACTTTGGACATGTTGTGAGGAGAGACCGGTCCTTGGAGAGGGACATCATTCTTGGGAGGGTGGAGGGACAGCGCAGGAGAGGAAGGCCCTCTATGAGGTGGATTGATTCAGTGACTGGGGTAATTGGGATGGGAGTGTCAGAGACAGTGCGATTGGCACAGGACAGAGCGGAGTTTAGGGTTGTTGTACATAGGGTCGCTATGAGTCGCAGGCGACTCGACGGCATATAACAACAACAACAACATATTGCAGGTGCCCACCCTGTGTCCCCATCCCTACAGGTTCTGAGCCAGCTGGAGGCCTGTGGCCTTGTGGAGACCATACACATCAGTGCTGCTGGCTACCCCATTCGGTGAGTGGGCAGGTCACTGCAGGTGCAGGGCAAAAGCTGGACAGCCATGGGGTGTAGAGTGGAAGAGAAAGAGGTGGGTCTCAAAAGTCAGTCTGGAAGGCCAGGGCAGGGACAGATTGTCCAGTAAGTAAGGTAAGCATCCCTAGTGTACTTGTAAGCCCATGTTTCCAAGTGCACTCCATCCCTGTAAGGGGCTGTCAATATGAAAAGAGACCTTGATTCTGGAGGAGAGTACTATGGAGTTGAGAAAGAGGCCGATGCCAGCCAGACCCAGAAAAATCTTTGCTGTAGTGAAAAAATGTGAAATTGTTCCCTGTAGATTAGTAAGTCCGTAACAACAATAACATACTATGACAGGTTTGGAAGCAGGAGTGGCATCCACTTCCTAAACAACATGCCTCTGAAAACTCTATGAACTTTGGTAAATGTCAGTAGTTGTCAAGGGGCTTCAGGCCTTTTGTTCACAGGGTCGCTATGAGTCGTACTCGACTCAAGGCAATCAACAACAGCAGAGCAGTAAGCACCCCTGAGCCTGTGCTTAGCTTGTAATATCGAGCGGTCCCACACTGGCTCCGGGTCCATGCAGTCTCTCACTGTGCACTGTCTCAGTCCAAGCACTGTTTCTGGTAATATATCAGTGAGGAAAGAAGCTGAGTTCCATGGAGCCGTAACCAGCCAGTCTCCCATCACCCTCTCTGACACATGTCCAGTTGTCTGGGGAGATACCTGTAAGCCCCTTTGGAAGGAGGCAGGCTGCAAACCCCAAGGAGGACTATTAAAAGGGGGGGGAGATACCAACCAGCTTACAATGGTAGATCACTGAGCAGCCCCAGCAACCTCATCGTGAAGTTCTACGTTGAATGGGGAGTCAGGGCAACATCTCACTGGGTTGTTGGGCAGATTAAATGAAGGTAATTCCGATGGGCCTGAGAGCTATGGTCTGGCTCACAGTTGAAGTCACTCTGTACTCTTCTCCCATCTGCTCTGGGCTCCAGGGTCTCTCACCGGAATTTTGTGGAACGATATAAATTGCTGAGATGGCTCCATCCTGACACATCCCCTGCCCAAAGGCATTCAGGTAAGTGGAGTTCATTTGTCATTTTTTCACATAGCCAAGCATTATGGAGCACCTAATCCATTCTCCCTCAAGGCAAACTGAGGGATTCATATACCTACGCTTATAGTTGTGGGTTCAGTTAGGAGAAACAGGCTCAACAAAGCCAAATTGTATAGAAAGTAGGCAGACAGGTTGCTATAGGAAGTGTTGGAGAGGTAGGAATCAGGGAAGGCTTCCTGGAGGAGGTGCTGAGATTAAATTGGATTAGCAGGTGAAGTGAAGGGCTTTTCCATGTCAGATCTAATCTAAACAAACATCTGGGATGGTGAGACAGTTCTACGAGTGAGGAGCTCAGTGCCATACACACAGAGCAAGGATAGCACAGATGAGGCTAGAGTGACAGGTCAAGGCTTCTGAACTCAGTTCTCTAGATAGCTGGAAAGGCACCTCAGATAAGAGAGGTGTACCCACAGCAGTCTCATCCTTTCTGGCAACCTCCCTAGGGCTCCATCGAGGGCCATCGAAGTGAGGCAAGACCCGAGAAGGAGATGGCGTGGGAGGCTGGGGCAGAGGGAAGCCAGAGGTGTGGCACCATCAGGAAATGTTAAGATCAGAAATCAGCTAGATGATGCATGGCTGATTGGATACAGAGGGAGAGAACAGGACAGTGAGGAGAACAAGAGAAGCAGCGGGACGCCGTTGATCTGTCCCAGCGTCACCCATTGAAGGCACATGGGCGAGTGTTAAGACCTTGCTGTGGCCTGATTCGGCCTCATTGTCAGCACATAGAAATCTGAGGCTCTTGGAAGGGATTGGAGCAACCCAGGGAGAGGTGAAGAGGCCAAAGGCCGGCATAAGACCCCAGGCCACTATGCCCCCCACATAGCATAACCTGGGGCCCACCAGATACCACCAAGACAATTTTTGCTTTCTCCTCTTGGACAGACTTCAGTCACTTTCCTTTTACCTCTTCCACCTTCTCTCCTCCCGTCCCCTCTTCTCTCCTCTCTCTATGGTCTGCCTCCTGTTCTGTGCCCAAAGTCCCCCTGGTCCCTGGTTGATCTTGCTGCTGTTTCTCATCTGCAGTCTCCTTTGTCAGCCTCTGTCTCCAGTGAGGCACTGGCAGCTAAAGGTGGTCAGAGCCCTCAGGTAAACCTTCCCCTTCAGAGGAGGATAGGCTGGGGAGCCTGCTGGGCCAATGCAGGGCTGACATTTCTGCTCCCTTTGCCCATCTTGGCAGGGTGGGGCCTGAGCTTAGGGAGGGGCCCAGCTGCCTCAGGGTTTTGGGGGCCTTGGAAATATATGCTGAGCACCTGGAATCCTGGGCTGAAAGGAGTTGCTCTACAGGCATCAAGTACCCTTTGCCTGTCTACCCAAGAGGCCCTATGGGAATGGAGACATGAGGAATAGGCACAGTGAAGGTTCCAGGACTCCTCAGAACAGCCAGAGCCCTGGTCCAGGACAGTCCTTCGCCTTAAAGACAGAAAGGTGGGATTATTAGAAGTGAGAACAGCAAAGAAAGAGGTAGATGAGTGTTGCAGGGGCCAGAGCCCGCTTGAGACCAGACAAGGGGAAGATGCACAGGAACTTGTCGAGATGACCAAGAGCTGATGGGCCTTGTCTTCTACCACCCAGAAAGGCTTCCCAGTGCTGAGGAGGCCACACTGCAGCCTGTCCTCCAGGACATTCTCCACATTCTACCAGCTCTAACCAAGGCAGCAGCCACACTCAGTTACCACACTGAGGCCACACCAGCCCAGGTGCTCTGTGGCAGGACCAAGGTGTTCATGACTGACTCCACGGTGAGCTGGTTTGGGGATGCAAAGCAGAGACCACTGGGGCCCCGTGCTCTCCTCAGCCGGACAGGGTGGGGGAAGGCTCAGGACCTCAGTGAATGCTCTTTCTCCCAGCTGGAGCTTCTGGAACTTGGACGTACCCAGGTGCTAGAGCAGTGTGCCCGCTGCATCCAGGCTGGCTGGAGGCACTACCTGCACTGCAAGCAGGAGAGGCAGAGGCGGGCCGCCGTGCTCATCCAAGCAGGTAAGGGGGTGGACCAGGAAAGGGCAGAGTTCCTTCCAGGCCAGCAGGTGGGTCTGGATGCCTTTGAAACTGTTCGTTGAGTCCCCATATACTGAAGTTCATGGTCCCAGACTCCACAGGTAAGTGCATGGCTCCACTCGTCTACTAGGATTTCTCTGCACCGTTACTCATCCAGAGCGTTTCCACAGCTCAGTGGGAATCACTGTCAGTAAATTAGTGTAATGTGGTATGTGGCTCAAATCTACCAGCTGCTCCTCAGGAGAAATATGGGCAGTCTCCTCTCAGGAAATGTACTGCCTCTGAAAACCCACTGCAGGGTCACTATAACAGCAACAGTTGAGTACCTTCAAAAAGGAAAAAGTGATTTCCATCAAATCACTCCCGACTTATGGCTCCGTGTACCAATAGCTTACTTTCATTTTGTTCTCTTTCCTGTTGCTGGGAAAATACCTTAGCCATTCGTTCCTGGTTAACTCGGAAACACATCCAGAGGCTCCACACAGCTGCCACCATCATCAAGCGTGCATGGCAGAAGTGGAGAGTGAGTGTTGGCTCCTGTATCAGGGTGTGCAGAGGGTGGGGGTTTTGCTCTGGGCAAGTCATTCTACCCTGTATATAGAATGAGAGTGATGTCACCTACACTGTAGGTTGTTAGGAAAGTAAAAGAGCATTAAGTAACAGTAAAAATCATAGAGTTGTAACTTAAAAGCATCAATATTATCTCAATAAGCATCCCCCTCTTCACCTTAGTAAGCTGATTTGTTAAAGATGGTTTTAGTTTCCATTAAGAGGGTCCATTAATGTTACGGAGGATGTTTTCTTCATAGATCAGAATGGCTTCTCTTGCTTCTAAAGAACTGGATGGTGCAGAGGAAAAATGCTTGTCTCCACCTCCCCATTCCGTGAGCTCCTTCCCGCTGCCTCTCCTGGAAGCCAGGTTCCTGAGTGCAGTAGTCCGCCTCTGGCCCCTGGGACTGGTCCTGGCCAATGCAGCCATGGGTGTGCATGGCTTTCAGAGGAAACTAGTGGTCTGGGCCTGCCTTCAGCTTCCCCTGAGTAGGCCCAGCAACAATGCTGTCCAGATTGCACAACACGAGCAGGCTGGTGTCACTTCCATACGAGCACTGCCTCAGGTAAGTGTGTGTGATGGAGTGTCCTGACACTCTGTGTCATCCCTCTACCACTAAAGGGGAAGGACTGAGCCATGCCCTGTTGGGTCAACCCTACATGTCTCAGTCATTTCCATCATTATAGCTGGGAATTTTCTAGAGCCTCTGTGTGTATTATTACTGTGCCTAAGCAGGTCCTCTGAAATCTTAATTAGTCCATTTCAAGGTAGACTACCATGTTTACAATGGCAGCTTATTCCTCAAACGTCACTGGATTTAGCATTATTAATCTCAAATTTTATCATACCTCAGGCATAGTGAGTTCAATTCCAAATAACCAAAATAAATAAATATCATGATACAGCAAGGCACGTGAGTTTTTTTGTTTCCCAGTGTTTACGTTTTCTTAATTACCAAATTCTGACAGACACAAAGTGAGTACATACTATTGGGGAAATGGAGCCAATACACTTCTTGACACAAGAGTTGCTGTAAACTTTTAATTTGGAAAAAATCACAGGATCTATAAAGCACAGTGCAGTGTGGGTCACCTCCCTCTCTAGGTGAGGAAATGGCAAGTGAGGCACTGGTCCAAGGCCCCTGGATTGTTATGTGTAGCCAGAGAAGAGTTCGCCAGCACTCAGGAAGTCATTGTAACATAGTTAAATGATATGGTTGAGGAAGGGTATGTATGCTAGTGACAGGGTCCAGGTCCTGCCTGTGGTATCTTGTTTAAGCCATGTCTCATTCTGGGTACTTCCATTTATTAATCTATAAAATGGGGTTAATACTCTTGACCTATGACAAATGGTCATAGCAAGGATTATGTGAAGTTCACAAAGGCCTAGGAAGGAAACCTTGTCTTTCCATACCAGAGGGATTGCCACAGGTCTCAATCTGAATGAAATCTCCCAGGAATGACAGCTGATAGTCCTATGAAGGAGGGAGAGCTTCCTCATCTATCTCAACACCAAGTAACTATGAAATGTCATTATTTTGAATACTGCTTTCGAGTTGTCCACTGTAACAGTCATGGTCCTCTCTCCCTAGGGTTCGATAAAGTTTCACTGCAGAAAGTCTCCCCTGCGCCATGCTGACATCTGCCCTGAAACTTCGCCCTACCATGTTACTGGCTTTAATCAGATTCTGCTGGAAAAGCACAGGCTGATCCAAGTGTGATCACTCCCTGACCTCTGCCCTCCCTGGCTGGGTGATCCTTGGTGCCTTTGTTTCTCTGCGGCCTTTTCCTGCCAGCTGCCTTGCCAAAGACATTTGATCAGCACCCTGCTGCCAAACTACTCCCAGAGTGACTACAATGCACGTGAGGATGTGCCAGCCCCAGCCTCAGAGCCAGGGCTGCAGTGACAAGGATCCAGTGGGCCTGTCAGGGTTTAGAGTTACCAGACCATCACTACATCCACATGTAAACTCAGCACTAAACGTATAAGTGTCCATCCTGGGGGAGCCCTGGCTGCCCGTGAGCACTTCGGCAGAAAACAGGATGCAGCCTCCACTGTTCCAGCTGGGAACTTCAGACTTAGTTCCTTAAAAAGGGATGAAACCTTAGTATTTAACAAACCATTTAAGCAATGAAGAAGAATCATAAACCAAGGATGATGATATGTACAATAAAACCACTATATCTTGATTTTTAATAACACTACTCAAGTTTTTAAACAGGTGTAAAAATATTGTCCATTATAATTATTCCAGAAATAAAATATTTTAAGACAATGACAATCATCTGGATGTGGAATTTTCTCCATGAGGGATTCACCACTTTATGTAATCTCACCAGCCTGAAACATGATTCTGTGTCAACTGTGGTGAAGCCCCAGTGTCAACTTGTCGGAATCCTGGAACATGGGCTGCGGTCCTGGGAGGGAGGGGCAGGCTTCACGAGCACGTGCTGGAGGCAGCAGCACAATCATCCGCCTTAGGAATCCTCATCCTGAGGTGGTTCTACAATTCTTAAGCAGCAGTCGGCAAACTCCACAAACAAGGGCTCTTGCATGTAAGCTTTCATGAGCTTTGCTTTGTCGTTGCCCTGATCAAGGTTGACCATCAATTCTCTAAGATGTGGATTAAGCAGTAAATTCCTCAGATGTACAGAGTCCCCTTAAAAATGAACAAGGTAATGAGTGCAGTGAGAACAGGTAGAGATGGAAGTTTAAAAAGGCCCTAATTCGTGGGGAGCTCTGGTGGCCTCGTGGCAAGGCACATGGTTCAAATCCACCAGATACTCTGCCGAGGAAGGAGGGACAATCTCCACCTGTACCAGTCAGATCTGTTTTGACGGTACACACATACAAAAATAATAAAATAAAATAAATTAACATTTTTTTTTAAAAAAAGGCCCTAATTCTGAGAGACAAAAACCCCAATGTTTCACTGAAGAAAGAAAACTTAAACCAAGTGCTCAAAGAGGGGTCAAATTTTGCCAACACACAAGGCTAGGGGTCTGGGGAGTGGTGCTCAGCGAGCTATGATATAGTGAAAGCCCTTTGCATTTACACACTGGAGGCTGGAGAGGAAGGGCAGGAAATGTTAAGTTTTGAACAACTTTTAAAATTACATTCTATATGGCACTTAACGACAACATATAACTACGTTGGCCTAGTGGACAGAAAGTTATGCTACCAAGCCCAAGATTTTAATCTGCAGCCCTCAGGCCTGGTTTAAATTGGTTTTTGTCAAATTTTCTTCTACTTGGTATAGCACTGGTCTGTGCATTGCTGTACAGAGGTAACTCGTGGTTGCTGTGATGCTGAACACTGTGACAATGATGTGCCAAATGCGATAATGGTTACCCATGGTGGACAGTGTTTGATGGAGTTCCCCAATTAAAACAAGCCTGGAAGCAGGAGTGGCATCCACTTCCGAAATGGCTTGTCTCAGGAAACTATGAACAGTGCTCAGGTCTTTTGTTCATAGGGTCACTATGAGTTGTCTATGACTCAACGGCACTTAGCAACAACAACAACACATTAAAAGAATACTGACCCCCTTTTCCTTATGAATCAGGGTGAAGTCTCTCTCAGGGAGGAGTGATAGGGAATGGCAAAGGACACACTGACAAAGGAGATTAATCAGAACTGGCTTTGACAAGCACTGTGGCAATTGCACAATTAAAACAGACTTTTAAGGGGGAAAAAAAGGAATGAACTGGGGGGGGGGGAGGGTAGAGAAAACAGTGCAACAATGAATGAATGGAAACCCAAAATCTCTGTAAATGTTCATTAAAATTTAAGAAAAAAAAGAAGACTGAAAAATAAGGCCAGAATACTGCCCAGAGATACTCAAAAGTTAGAAATCAAACAAAACAATAAAATTCTAATTTCAAAAAAAAGTATCTCAAAAGTTGACAAAGAAATAAACAAGCACAGAATACACTTACCTAGATTCTTTAATTTCTGCAGAGAAACTCTGTCTTGTTCTTCATCACTATTGAGAAAATCTGCTATAGATGACTCATCATCTAAGGAAAAACATAGTCAGCTGCTTATTCCTGAAAAGAAAACCTAGCCACCAGATTTTAAACACTCCTCCAATACATTAAGGGGTTTACACCAGATCTAAACAAAAAACACCCTTTCTTCTCTGGCACTTGTAGCCATACTACCACTTCTCTGTAGAGCAAGTGAGAGCGAGCACAATTGGTGATTTTTAACAAATGCACTGCACACTCTGTTCTGTGGTTTTGGGGCTTAGAGTCTAATTATCAATCCTTATCACCTCATCTCCCAGCATCATAGTTCTAGCCCTGTCATGAACCAAAAACTGAAAGTAAATCGTCTCAGCTTTCAGCATTTGCAAAAAGTTCTCTGGCACTGCCTAAATTCAACCTGGAAGTTTCTCAAAGCAGAAATGGCTCAACCCTTTGTCATGAACCTTGAAAAATTTTTTTTTGGTAGCACTGGAGGACAGGGCTATTTTCAGAGTCTGCTGGGCACTTTCTCTACAGAGAAAGAACGGACCTTAGGGCAAAGGGCTCGGCTCACTCCACACCCCTAAACCTCTGCCAGTGTCTTCTTTCTCCTAGGTCCGTGCTTCCATTTTCCTTTCCCTGAACAATGGGTACCCTATCCATGGGCACCCATGGGACCCATGGCCGTGTGTGTCGCCTCCACTCCTGACACTCGGGCTGAAAAAGTGACCTAGTGAAGCACAAGGCTCTTGACAGCCTAGCCCTGGCCGAGTCTCCTCTTCTTTCAATTTACTCTATTTGTAAGCCCTTTCAAGGTCAGTGGGTATGCTTGATTTTTAAATCAACCAGCCTCACCTTTGTTTTCCTCAGGCTTTGTCGTTTTTATAAGAAGTGATGTGTTGTTTTTTTTCTTTTCAGGATGAATTTCAGGGTTGCACTGCTCTGAAAAAGACACCCGTTTCAGACATACAACCTCCACTGCAATGACCCTGCCCCCAATCCCCTAAGCCAGCTTTGGGTTAGAAAGCATATACAATGGGTAAAGGAAGTGAGTGGGGTGGAAACAGATGTAAAGGAAGTGAGAGATCAAAACAAAGGGCAGTTTAAGAAAAACCACAACCACCATGCAGCTGGCAGTTGAGGAAGCCCCGCTTCCACACCTCAAGACCGTGCCTCTGTCCCTCCTGCCTGGCCTATCTCAAAGTCTTCACCAGGATTATGCAGCATCTTAACTTCAATTTTTCTCAAGAGTTTCCGACACCAAATATGAATGCATCACTGAGAACACACAGGTGAAAGAGTCAGTTGTAAGGAGTTTAGTTGTAAGCGGTAGTATAGTTACTATGTAAATGTACAACATTATCACAAATGACAGGTGGAGATACAGGTAAGGCAAAGGTGGGTCTGATCTAAATTGATCTGAGAGGGACAAGATGAGGAGGAATCTTTGCTGGATGGAAAGAGTAATAATATTCCTGGCAGAGAAAAAAGAAAAGGTCTATGCCTGCACCAGACTTTGGAAACACAAGGATCAAGTAGATGGAGATGAGCAATTGCCAGCTGGCAGGTGGCAGGGACACCAGAAGAGTAATGAAGAACAAGAGAATGGCTCTCAAACAGGACACTACTGGTATCCTCCAGGGTGGAAGGTCTCCAGTGTGCACGACAGTCTCATGTTGTTCTACAGGGTGTTTACTTGAACTCTCCCTCTCCCCCCTCCCCTTATAGTACCACCAACCCCTCCTCAGACACTGTAACAACACTTATCACCCAAACCTATTGTCCCAAGTCAATCCTAACTAGGTGACCCTACTGGATAAAGCAGAACTGCCCCACAGTTTCCACAGCTCTAAGTCTTTGTAAAGGCAAATCTTTTACTCCCACAACACAGCTGATGGGTTAGAACCACCAGCATTTTGTTGGCATCCAATCACTTTAACCACTGCGTCACCAGAGCTTTTAACCGTCCCCTAAAAAGAAGGATATAGAATCATACCACGTACTCAACAGGGGAATGAAATACTCAAATCTACATTTCTATTAAAAACTGCCAAGAAAACAGTAGAGGTTCCTAATTGCCCTAGGGGGTTCCTATCAGGAACTCAGAAAACTGCACAGAAGTGTTTGGAATCCCAAATCGCCAAGGCTCTTTCTACGCCGAAAGTACCATTCCGTTCCCATCTTTGGCTATAAGGGTACTCTGGAATGTGCTCCGTATGAATAAACCATTATCTATGAGACAGAAAGTATACTAGGTAACATCTATGCCAAACGGTGAGGGGGTATGTGGCAAAGCGCTATGATATAAGCTGAAAGGAGTGTAGTGCTTAAAAGAGCAAAAGAGGGTGGAAACGGAAAGAAAGGCAAGATGGGATTCTTTGTTTTTAGTCATTTACAATTCGGTGAGGCATTTATCGGCAGAGGCGAAGGATCCACAGCCAGGGAAAGGCGGGGACACCAGAAAGCAAGTCCGAGGAAGAAACGTTCCCATCCAGATGTAGGGAAAATTCTAGGGGGGTGCGGGGGGAGAAGGCTGGAGAACAGCTTGGACCGGACAAGAATAGACGACTAAAGAGTCCACGCCCTAAAGACGAACACGGGGCAGAATGTCGGGGTTCCTCTACGCAAAAATGAAGATGAGAGAGTCTTAGAACCTTACCTTTGTGATTCCGGAAGCAAGACACCGAGCAGCTGTTAACAGAGACCAAGAATCAAGTTTGTCAGTTAACAACAAAGACCACGACTCATGTCA